CTCTTCCACCTCTTCCTCTGCTCCTGGGGCTTCCACCTGGAGGCCTGATCCTAAGTCCCCTGTGGGTACAGATGATGGTGGCGGCAACAGCAGCAAGAGACCCTGGAAGGCAGCAGCTGAAGTGACCAGAAGGGAGGTCAGTGCCCAGAAGAAGGTGCTGGTGGGAAAACGCTCAGGGAAGTTGAGCGGGGGACCAGGGGTGCCGTTGGTGGGGGCTGGTGGGCACTCAAGGCGGCTCACACCCTGCACTAGGGCCAGCATACAGGGCAGCAGGGCACTCAGGCCTTGACCCAGGAAGAACGACCGTAGGAAGTGAGGTGGCAGGTGGCTCAGGAAGGGCAGGAACGTGACATTAGAGGCACAGCATGCCAGCGCCAGCACGAAGGCCAGGGCTAGGAAGGCCACGGAATGCAGCTGTCCTGCCACTGGGGCCACGTAGTGCCACAGAGAGGCCAGCAGAGCTGAGCCCACCATGCTCAGCACCTGCACCACCCGGATGGGGACCCGCTCGCCCTTTCCTGGGACCAGCCGCCTCCAGAGGGTCACCACCAGCAGACCCAGGTTCCCCAGAGCCACTAGCACAGAGACGTAGGAGGGGAGGTTCCAACCTGCAGGGAAGGGAGGAGGCCATGTCAGGGGCATGACACCCAAGGGAAGCCAAAGCCCACCTTCCTGGGCCCACCTGCACCTCCTCCCACTCACCCTCAGGAAGGTCTTTGACCACCACAGGTAGCTCCACCCAGATCCCATTGACCGCAGCCCAGGAGCCCATGCCGAAGAGAGCCACTAGCACGTGGGTCAGCACCGGACGGCCGGACGTGGGTGCTGCCATTGAGCACGAGGCTAGGCCCCTCAAGGTCAGGGCAAAGGTCACAGCCAGTTCTTTTCCCACCGAGGTCCGGAGACGCTTGACTCTTCTGGGAACTTAAGACCTCTTTTAGCTTGAAAGAAACAGACCAGCACGGAGGACCCCGAGCCGGAGTCAGAACAGGGTGAGGCCACCACCAACAGGCGAGCTGGAGGAGCCCCGGGCCGGAGTGGGGAGGGGGCGCATTGGCTAAAACGTGCCCAGCAGCTCCGCCCGGCAGTCTGGACCGCCGGCAGGCAGGAAAGCGGGAAACCCGCCCGAGGTGCCGCAGGCCCAGGGGAGGAGGCGGAAGGAGCGGGTGGAGCCGCCTGCTCAGGGCCAGGCGGGGCTGGAGTCACCGCAACCACCACCACCCGCCGGACCCCAGGCCAGGGCGCCTACCGGCAGGAGCCACGCACACCCCAGGGCTTCTGCGTGCCCGGGACCGCGGGGGGCAGGTCAGATGCCAGGGGAGGGGCCGGGGCGGCTGTGCCAGCATCGGGTGGGTGACCGGGAGCAGTCCGGCCCCTGCGCGTCCCCGTCCCGCGCCCCTTGCGCGCCCGCTCCAATGACGGCTTCTGGCCACGCCGGGACGCCGTCGTCTGGCCCAGGAGCGCCACCGCAGTCCCGCGCGCTGAGGGCGCGGCGCCAGACAGGATCCGATACCCTCACTGCGGCTCTGGGCCCGACCCAGCGCGGCCCACGGCCGGAAGTCCCGCCCCGGAAGCGGGTCGGTAGGCTGGCGCTGAGTGGAGCCGGCAGGTGTCAGTCTGTAGGCCCGCCCCTTCCGCTCCCCGGGACTGCCCGAGCGGAGTCGGCGGCCATGGCTGCCCCGGCGTCTCGTTGGGTCCGGCGCAGAGCCCGAGCAGCGCCGCGGGCCCGCTCGGCCGAGGACTGGTGGTGGGACCGGCTGGCGCCAAGCGGCTCGGGGTACCACCTGCTGCAGTCCGACAGCATGCTGCTGGTGCTGTCCGAACCCGGGCCCGTCCGACCCCGCGCACAGCGGCGCGCTGCCCGCCGCGCTCCCCGGCAGCCGCCCCCGGGCCCCCGCGCCGCCAAGCCCAAGCCCAAGCCCAAGGCCAGGCTGAGGCCCGAGCCCGCGCCCACGCCCGAGGACGGGCCAGACGCGGGCTGGGGAGACCGCATTCCCTTGGAAGTCCTGGTGCAGATTTTCAGGTTGCTGGTGGCGGCGGACGGGCCCATGCCCTTCCTCGGCAGGTAACGCTGCAGCCGGGCCCGCCGCCGAGCTCAGGGGCTTGGGCCAGATGAGGTCCGAGCGGTGGCCCGGGCGGGGGCGGAGGGCGAAAGCATCGGGGCGCACACGCCGCCGTCCGAGAGCACAGTCCCTTAGTCGCCCGGTTGGAGCCTCAGGGGCTTAGCTTTGAGCCGGCTATCCACTGCGCTGCGAGAGGGGGGCATCGCCTACTAAGGGGCCGGTACCCTCAACAGCGCTATTTTCCCAGGGCTGCGCGCGTGTGCCGCCGCTGGCAAGAGGCCGCCTCCCAACCCGCGCTCTGGCACACCGTGACCCTGTCGCCCCCGCTGGCCAGCCGGCCTGCCAACGGCAGGGTCAAGGCGGAGAAGAAGCTCCTTGCTTCCCTGGAGTGGCTTATGCCCAGTCGGTGAGGGGTTCCCTCTTTTCCTTATCCCCTGGCTCCAGGCCCCTTCTGTGTCCCTGCACCAAGGTTTTGGGTGGGAAGGACTCGTGTGGGAACATTAGTGCAGCTCTGCCTCTGCTGTCGGCCCAGGTTTTCACAGCTCCAGAGGCTGACCCTCATCCACTGGAAGTCTCAGGTACAACCCGTGTTGAAGGTGAGAGCTTCAGGCTGCCCTGCACACCAGCTGTGACCCTCTGGGACTGTTTAGTACTCTAGGAAGTGGGTCAGGCACCTTGGGGGCCTAACGCTGCTCCATGGGGATGCCTGCCTGCCTGCTTGGTTCTCTTTTCCTGCTGTTTCCTCCAGGAGGGAGGTGTCAGAGGCAGGGACACCCAGGTAGGCCTGACATGGGCAGAAAGGAGGTCACAGCTAAGGTGGTAAAGTGGGGCTGGCACCAGCCACCTGTCTGCTTCCCTCGTGGATCTTAGCCTGCCCTTTCCCAACCCCAGCTGGCCCTCTGTCTCCCCGCAGCTGGTAGGTGAGTCCTGTCCTCGACTCACCTTCCTCAAACTCTCCGGCTGCCACGGTGTGACTGCTGATGCTCTGGTCATGCTAGCCAAAGCCTGCTGCCAGCTCCATAGCCTGGACCTACAGCACTCCATGGTGAGCCCTGTGTCCCAAGGGTCCCTGAAAAAGCCCAGGCTGGGGTGACAGGTTCTCTTGTACTGGGGCCTCAGGTGGAGTCCACAGCTGTGGTGAGCTTCTTGGAGGAGGCGGGGCCCCGAATGCGCAAGCTGTGGCTGACCTACAGCTCCCAGACAACAGCCATCCTGGGCGCACTGCTGGTAGGTTGGCACTGGTGGGAGCTGAGCCAGATGCTGAGCTGGGGACTGCCAGACCACTGACCCCGTGACACCCCCCTATCTCTGCAGGGCAGCTGCTGCCCCCACCTCCAGGTCCTGGAGGTGAGCACCGACATCAACCGCAATAGCATTCCCCTCCAGCTGCCTGTCGAGGCTCTGCAGAAAGGCTGTCCCCAGCTCCAGGTACCTGGTTCCCCACCCCTCCCACCTGTGACACCCTCCCCCATCTACAGCCTAGGCCTTGTTCCCAGGTGCTGCGGCTGCTGAACCTGATGTGGCTGCCCAAGCCTCCTGGACGAGGGGCTGCTCCCGGACCAGGCTTCCCTAGCCTGGAGGAGCTCTGCCTGGCGAGCTCCACCTGCAACTTTGTGAGCAACGAGGTCCTGGGCCGCCTGCTCCACGGCTCTCCCAACCTGCGCTTGCTGGATCTTCGTGGCTGTGCGCGCATCACACCAGCTGGCCTTCAAGATCTGCCGTGCCAGGGTCAGCGGTCCTGGGTGGTGGCCGGGTGGGTGAGGTGTGGGGACCCTTGCCACCCAGCAGCTTATGCTCACTCCTCTCACTGCAGAGCTGGAACAGCTTCATCTGGGCTTGTATGGCACCTCAGACCGGCTGACTCTAGCCAAGGAGGGCAGCCCCCTGTTGACCCAGAAGTGGTGCCACACCCTGCGAGAACTGGACTTGAGTGGCCAGGGGTTCAGTGAGAAGGACCTGGAGCAGGCCCTGGCTGCCTTCTTAAGCACCCCTGGGGGCTCGCACCCAGCCCTGTGCTCCCTTAATCTCAGGGGCACTAGGGTCACACCAAGCACAGTCAGGTCAGCATCCCCTCCCCCAGTCCCTGGAGCCAGTGTGGCTGTCACTGCGTCTGCCTGGGGCCTGAACGTGGTGTCCTGCCTGGCCTGAGACCTCCAGGGGTCAGAGGGGCATGCGTACTGTCCCAGCACCTTCGTGGGGTGGGCTTGGGGACACCAGGGCAACTGGGCTTGGCCTTGGTGGCTATGGGTGGCAGAGCCAGGTGTGGAGCAGCAGCAGGCACAGCTCCCTAGCTTGGCCCAAGCCCTTCTGAGGGAAGTCTTCCAGGCAATGGCTCAACTTCCTGTGGCCTACCCTCCCCACAGCTCTGTGATCAGCAGCTGCCCCGGCCTGGTCTACCTCAACCTGGAGTCCTGCCGCTGCCTTCCCCGGGGCCTGAAGCGGGCCTACCGGGGCCTGGAGGAAGTCCAGTGGTGTCTGGAGCAGCTGCTCACCAGCCCCTCACCCAGCTAGGCAGCCACAGACCTGGGACACATCAGCCAGCCTGCCCCCCACCCACCTTTGCCCAGTTTCAGATATTGGAGCATTTTGTTAAAATAAAACTTTTTTAGGAGCTCTGTGTGTGTGGTCCTCAGGGTAAGGTTGGGCAACGGGTTATACCTGATGGTGCCACTGGGGCTACAGCCAGCCCAGAGCCTGTGTGTTGTGGGGTCAGGGTGGCCCAAGGGTTCTTGAGCCTGCAGGTGGCTATGCCTTTGCCTGCCAACTGAGGGACCCAGTGTGTGTATGTCCCACCCTCGGGAACACTGGTGAGCTGTTGGTGGTTGCATGTGGGTGTAGAGGTGGGGCCCCGCCCAGCCGTGGGGTTCATTGAGGGGTCCCTGCCTGCAGATTTCTCTCCACCTCAGGCCTGGGGAGTCCACCCTTCAGATGAGAGCCATGAACAGGCCACACAGGGGCCTCCAGTGTATGGACTGGCCAAGAAGCTCATTCCCACTGTGGGACCTCAGTCCAGCACTCCCTCAGGGGTGGTCAACAGAGTGGCCCCTTCTAGAACCCTCCCAGAACTTCTAGAACGCGTGTGCTGTCCCCCCCTCCCCGGGCCGCTACTGGCCTTGCTGCCCTGCCGGTCTTCTGTGAGCTCCTGCTCCTTCTTGGGCCTGCAGCCCTGGAGAATTTGCTCAGCCAGGTAGGCGCGCCGCTGTGGGCAGTGGGCGACGGCGGCGGGCGAGCGGCCAGGCTGACCACCTCTGCTTGACCCAGAGCCCTAAGGGGCAGGTCCGTAAAGGCCGGGCCCGCGGCCTGCGCGCGACCTCCTTCGGCTGGCGCTTCCGGCTGTGGTCCCTAGGACTCTTCTGCCCCGAGCGCCGCCTGGCCAGGTGCCTTAAGAACAACAGCTTCTTCCCGTTCGAGCAGCAGCAGCCAAACGGTGCGCGCGGGGCGGGGCGGGGCGCGGCACGTCTGGGAGGAGGGAGCCGGGCCGAGGCCTCAATGGCGCGGAGCCGGGTGGGCAGGGCCAGGGGCCGCGGGCTGGCCGGCCGGTGCTCCCGGGGGCGGAAACGCGGCGGGCTAGTTGCAGCTGCCGCCCCGAGCCCTGCGCGGACCCAGCCACTCAGGGCACAGCCCCGGCGCCGCCACCCCGGCTGCGGGAGGCCCGGGCGTCCTCACTCGCCGCGCCGCCCCTAGTCTTCGTGCTGGAGTACTACCAGGACACGCTGTGGAAGGGGATGCTGCTCCTCGCCGTCTGCGTGGTCCTGGTCAGCGTCAGCTCCCTGAGAAAGGTGCGAGCTCCCGGGCCCCCCCCCCCACCCTCCGCCCCCGCGGGCCCGCCCTGCACCCGCTCAGGCGCTCCCCGCGGGGCCCGCCCACAGGTGCAGAAGCAGGAGACCTGGGTCTTCCCCGCGTACGGCGTGGCCGTGGGCCTGTGGATGGTGGTGTCATCGCTGCCGCGGCGCCGCCTGGTGCTGAACCACCCGCGCGGCGTGTACCACTTCTCCATCCAGGGCCGCGCGGTGTGCCAGGGCCCCCTGCACCTGGTCTACGTGCGCCTGGCCTCCAGCTCCGACGGTGACGCCCGGGACCCGGGACGGACGGGGACGGGGAGGCCACTTGGGAGCGTGGAGGGGCGCGCAGGCCGGCTGAGCCCACTCTCCCCGCAGCCTACGGAAGATGCTTCTTCCAGCTGGTCCTCGGCGGCCACAGGTTGGAGCCGCTGGTGCTGGTGCAGCTGTCGGAGCACTACGAGGTGGGTCCCGCCCAGACACGTGCCCTCCTCGGGACACGATGACACCGGTCGCTGTTAGGGTCTTTGGGTGGGGTAAATACAGCGCGGTCCTGGGCTGGGGGCCGTGGAGAGGGCGCCGGGGCTGCGGGCAGGACTGGGAATGCTGCCTGGAAAGGGAAGGGGTCGCCCTCATGGCGAGGGGGGTCTGTCCTGTCCTGGCCCGAGTTGAGCGCCACCTGCCGCCACAGCAAATGGAATACTTGGGCCGTTACATGGCCCGGAAACTCAACATCAACTACTTCGACTACCTGGCCACTTCCTACCGGCACGTGGTTCGCCACTGGCCACCCTCTAGCACCCGCTCCGTGTCGCACAAGAGCCTCGTGGACAAGGCCAGCTCCTCTCAGTCCAACCTGGAGGTGTGACTCCGAGGGCCACCCCCACCCCAGGACTGCGTTCTCCCCAACCTCCCAGCGCCCCACTCTGGGGCAGATCGAATATGAGTCCCACTCACTGGCCTTCCTTTCAATAAAGTTGTCTCACCTTCCACACAGGTCATTTTCTGGGGGCAGGGGAAGTGCCCTGGTGCCTATGGCTTCCACCATGGTGCACTCCTAGGACCTTAGGGAGCCTGTGCCTTCCAGGCAACTGAAGCAAACCCCAGAGCTTGGGTTCCAACACAGGAACAGCTGGGAGCAAGGGATGGAATATGGCCAGGCTGCTGGGTTGGGCCCATCACTTGAGAGGCTGGGAACTCCAGCCCCTCTTAGCCAGCAGCACTTAATAAATTGTCCTCTCTGACCTCAGAGGTGCTGACCAATGCGTGGAATCCAGGAGTCAGAATCTGATTGGTCCATTCTGAGCCCGGTGCCCACTGCTAGTCCAACCAGCAATGGGGTGGGGTACAGCTAGACAAGCCCTCTGCTTAGGGGCGCATGCTTGGCTCATAACCACACTGCTGCCACTTGTCTCCAAGGGGGTGGGCGTGAGAGTCCCGGGCCAGTGTCTAGGGCCTCCTAGGACGGAGAATGTGCAGCACCCCTGGCACCCACTCCTTGTGCCCACTGGAACTCTCACCCGGCGGCCCTGACACCCACTCCCCGTTCCTGCTGGAACCCCTGCCCTGCGCCTCTGACACCCGCTTCCAGTCCCCACTGGAACCCAGGCCCACACTCCCTTGTCCAGTGGATCCCCCAACTCTCACTGAAGCACCTGAGGCCTCCTGGGTGCTGACGGCTGTTGTGGAAGCTGAGAAGGCTGTGGGCCATGGAGTCCCAGGGGAAGCAGCTCCTGGCTTTCCAGGTCTTCAGGCAGTGTCAGCTGAGTGTCCCTGCATCCAGGAGCAGCTACATAATTTGCAGGGCTCCATGCCACATCTAAGTTTGGAGCCCATAGTTAGAAGGTTATTGAGTGGGGTGCAGTGGTGAATGCCTGTAGTCCCAGCTGCTCAGGAAGCTGAGGTGGGAGAGCTTGAACCCAGGAGTTCAAGGCTAGCCTTGACAACATAGTGAGACCCCAGTCTCTAAAAAAATAAACAATATAAATAAAGTTATTAAGAATTTCAAGATAGGCTGGGCATGGTGGTTCACACGTGTAATTCCAGCACTTTGGGAGGCCGAGGTGGGCGGATCACTTGAGGTCAGGAGTTTGAGACCAGCCTGGCCAACATGGTAAAAGCCCATCTCTACTAAAAATATTTTTAAAAATTGCCGGGTGTGATGGCAGGTACCTGTATTCCCCGCTACTCGGAAGGCTGAGGCAGGAGAAGCACTTGAACTTAGGAGGCAGAGGTTACAGTGAACCAAGATAACGCCACTGCACTCCCGTCTAGGTAACAGAGTGAGACTCCAACTCAAAAAAAAAATTTCAAGATGGCAATAGCATATAATTTAAACCAAGTATGGGCCGGGTGTGGTGGCTCATGCCTGTAATCCCAGCACTTTGGGAGCCCGAGGCAGGTGGATCACCTGAGCTCAGAGTTTGAAACCAGCCTGGCCAACATGGCGAAACCCCAGCTCTACTAAAAATTAACAGGTGTGGTGATGTGTGCTGTAGTCCCAATTACTCAGGAGACAGGAGAATCACTTGATCCTGGGAGGCAGAGGTTGCAGTGAGCTGAGATAGCACCACTGCACTCCAGCCTGGGCGATGGGGCGAGACCCTGTTTCAAAACAAAACAAAACAACAAAAACCCAAGTATGGGGCCATTCTGAGCCTGGGGCCCTCTGTGACTGCCCAGGTTTCAGGCCCAAGAAGCCAGTTCTACTTGGAACCATGGCTTCTCTGCTTGACCCCCAATCCTAAGGCCGCTCAAACTCAGTGGGCAACGGGCAAGCTGGCCCATTTCTGGGGCAGGATCTGGGGGCTACTGAAATGCCTTTAGATTGTCCCTGGGAGCAACTGTTTTTTTTTTTTTTTTTTTTTTTTTTTTTGACGGGGTTTTTTTTTTTTTTTTTTTTTTTTTTTTTTTTTTTTGAGACGGAGTTTCACACATGTTACCCAGGCTGGAGTGCAATGGCGCGATCTCGGCTCACCGCAACCTCCGCCTCCTGGGTTCAGGCAATTCTCCTGCCTCAGCCTCCTGAGTAGCTGGGATTACAGGCATGCACCACCATGCCCAGCTAATTTTTTGTATTTTTTTTTAGTAGAGACGGGATTTCATCATGTTGACCAGGATGGTCTCGATCTCTTGACCTCGTGATCCACCCGCCTCGGCCTCCCAAAGTGCTGGGATTACAGGCTTGAGCCACCGCGCCCGGCCCGAGCAACTGTTATTAACAGCCCAAGTGCAGAGACCATCCCCCTCCCCACCACCTGGAAGATGGGGCTCAAGATGTCCTGGAGTGGCAATACCCAGCTTAGGTTCGGGTTGAGGGCTCAGTTTCGCTTAGGCAGGGAAAGTCCCTCCTCCCCTGGAGCTGGTGGTCTAGGGGGAGCCCAGAAGGAAGTCAGGTTCCGTCCGACTGGGGAGCTCTGGGGTAAGGGCGTCTTGGGCAGCACAAGGGCATGATGCAGGACTGTGTGAGCTGGGTGTGCTCAAGAGGCTCCAAGCGGATTGGGATGGTCAGAGAAGAGAGGATGAGGGAGGAGGCAGCCTGAGAAGAGGTGGGAAAGGCGGGCAGAGTCTTTGGAGGTTGTGGCTCCGAGCTTTAGCCCTGTGTGCCATTGGAATCTGTTGGAGGGCTGTAAGCAGAGATGCACTCCCAGGGAGGGAGTCGGGGGGAAGGACCAGGAGGCTGCAGGAATTGTGCAGGGAGCTGGAAGGGCAGAGGGGAACAGAGAGGAGCACAGATCACAGGCAGTTCTGAGCTACCGCTCCGTTGATGAGATTTGCTGCTGGGTGGGAAGTGAGCTGGGAAGAAAGCTGACTTGGGGAGTTCAGGGTTTCTGGCCTGGGCACCAGGGCTGGGGGCCATGAGGAGGAGGGGTTGGCAGTCGGGAGCTCTGAGTTAGACAAGGCCTGAGGAGCTGATGGGACCTTGCAGGGGAGATTTTAAAAAGGCAAAAAGGCAGGAGGGCTCTGGGGAGAAAGGAAACGGGGAAGCACAGACCTGAAACCATCATGCCCTGGGAGGTCCCTGAAGCCAAAGCCCTAGATGAGAGGTCCCTGGCAACACAGAGGATGGAGGAGAACAGGAGGAGGGCCAAGGATGGAGCCGTGGCATCAGACACACAGAGGCAGACGAAAGCCCGCAGAGGGAAGAGGGCCCAAATGGAGGAAGAGGGAACCCGTGTTAAGTAAAATGGGCACTCATAGAGGCATGAACACCCCTGCAGGAACAGCCTCAGGGAAGCAGCCTCCTGCAGCATGGAACTGCACTGGGGGTGGGGGGCAGGGGGGCGGGGAGAAGAAGAGGGTAGAGGAAAGAGGAAAGTCAAGATCACACAGGAAGTTTCACTGTCATGGGCAGAGAAACCAGGGGGCACCTTGCAGGAGGGAGGTCTTGCTTGTTGGTGTGTAGGTGCACACAACCCTATAAATATTTATTTTAGGCCGGGCGCGGTGGCTCAAGCCTGTAATCCCAGCACTGTGGGAGGCCGAGGCGGGTGGATCACGAGGTCAAGAGATCGAGACCATCCTGGTCAACATGGTGAAACCCC